CGACGAAGCTCCTAAACATTTTCCAAAGCCGCAGTTGCACCAAAAAAGGCCATGGTGACTGTTTGGTGGTCCACAGCCGGTTTGATCTACCACAGCTTCCTGGCTCTAGGAGAAACCATCACAGGATAAGCACTGTGAGGAATGAAAAACAGCGACCACAAAGTTGCATCGGATTCAGCCGGCATTAATCAACAGAAAGGGGCGCGATCCTACTCCATGACAACGCCCGACGGCATGTTTCATTGATGACAACAAAAAAACTAATGGAGTTGAGATATGAAACTCCGACCATCCTCCATACTCACCAGACCTTTCCCCTACGGATTATCACTTTTTCAAGCATCTCGAAATTTTCTTACGCGAGAAATGCTTCCGAAACCAAGACGACGTAGAAAAGGCATTCAACGATTTCGTCGATTCCAGAACTCCAGAATTTTATGCTGCCGGAATATCTAAACTGCCTTCTCGTTGGCAGAAATGTGTTGATTCTTTTGGTCGTTATTTCGATTGAAAAGCAACACTTTGAAGCGAGTTATGATATTTTGAAATATTTGCTTCAAAACGGTCATTATTTTTGCCACGACCTAATAGATAAACTGGTAGCACATTGGGGGAAAAACACTGACTCGCACGTAGCATGTCCTTTTCCACAAATTTAAAGGCCAGAGTAGAATACATAACCTAAAGAGGTTGATCAGCACCGGAACCTCTGCCCATTAAGTACAGGGAGGGGGGGGGGCAAAAAAAAGACTTTTTTCTTCCTTGACTTTCGAGGCGCTATAAGTTACACTTTATTAAATTCTTATCGGACATTTCTACCACCATATTGAAGAGCATATTAAATACTATCATGACACTCCGCCACAGCCTTCTGGACGAGCGCCATCGAGAGATTCTGGCACGCGACCGCGATGTGGTGCCTGAGATCAGCGAGATAGTCGATTTCTCCGCCACCGTAGACCACCCTATTGAACTCCGCCCGAACCGGGTAATTGAGGGGTTTAGGTCAGGTGACACACTTGGATATTCCGTCTTCTTCAGGTACTCAACGTCCTTCCATTCCGTTTTCCAACACCCTTCGATTCCGTGCGGAGGCACGGAATCGGCAGTACAAAGTTTCCAAGAAGATGCGGAGTTTTCAAGAAGATGCGACGTGTGGAGAGGATATTCTTCTTAAGTTGCTCGATGTAACCGCCAGCGCTCACCTTCAGTCCGGGGCCCACGAAGAAAATATCGGTCTCTCCATTCCAGGTACGTCCGGTCCCCACCATCAACTGGCGCCTTGGCGACTGAGGTGAAGATGATGTCCTGGACCGTAGCGACGTTGTCGGAGCTGCTCGATGTTGGAGGTCTTCCAGATCGAGAGTACTAGTCTCCAGGTAGCTATCCATGGGTGACTCCATACTAGAAGTTTCGCAGCTGTTTGGAGGTGACATGAATTCCAAAGGTCTTCTCCAGTCAGGCTGCGACTGGAGATGACTTCATATTTTGGTGTACATGAAGGTGATGGGCGAGAGCCAGCTCCTGCTTATCGAGGAACATCTTGGGTATCTTCCGCCCTGGTACTCGTATCCACGTCCTCTGTCTGGGCTGCGAAAACTTTGCTGATATGTGACTCGGTCGAAATGTCTTTTTTTTGCCCCCCCCCCTGTAGACTGCTGTAACCAACGAAGTATAGGCGCGACTACGATGTCGGAAAAGGTATGTCATTCGTCAGAAGTGGTTACGGAAGAAGCGGTGCAACGAAGATGTGCTTGGTTCGCACCAGGACCCAACAGACTTCACCTTGGCGGTGCTGTGCTGCCTCAAGTCGACTAACTAGCAGATATTCTGCTAAACCGGGCGCGATGCTGCAACGGAGCCAACGGTAACCGGCTGGTTGAAGGCAGGCACCTCACGATTAATAGCCCATTGTCGAGTGCCATTCACTAAAGGAGTCCAGAAGCGCACGTTTCTCCAGCAGCGCAGGTCTCCAACTCGTGGTTCGTGATTAGTAGAACAGAACCTATTCAAAACAAACCTCTCATCTTCAACAGGGTCTACAGTGTCTCTGATAACGCAAAGCACATCAAAACGGGAAAGAATAGGCTCGGTCAGATCCACATTTTCTGCAAACGTTCGGGAAGGATTGTACCTGAATGAAGACAAAACATTAAATTGTTGAGGAAGATGGCTTTGTAACCACCAACCTTCCACCGATAGGGTTAGCAGCTGCAATCACCGTGCACCTAGCATGCAGTGAGGTCACGATTCCCGCTTTCGAAATGGAAATTGACTGCTGCTCCATCGCTTCATGGATAGAAGTGCGGTCCTGATCTGACATCTTGTCAAATTCATCGATCAAGCACACTCCCTTATCAGCAAGAACCTCAAAGTCATTTCATCAACATTCCAACTACTGCAATGAGATCCCACGACATTTTAGGTAGCAAAATATATCATTCAATACCATGGCACCAGCTTCTAATGTCCATTCTCTTGTAACGGGATGGCGTTGAACATAGGCGGTTAATCCAACTGCTGAAGCGCCCTGACCTGTAGTGAGCACAGCACGAGGAGCTGTATGCGCGGCAAAACGTAGGAACTGCGACTTCGCAGTACCTGGATCCCCGCAAAGAAGAACGTTGATGTCACCTTAAAAAAATGGTCCTCATTCTGAAGCACTATCAATGAGCCTCAGGAAGAAGCACTCACCCCTCAAGTTTATGTTTCTCTCCAGGATTTTTAGACTCTCCACGGAACAAGGCAAGCGCTATGGCCTGCTTTACGAATGCATGACCATAGATGGAAGGAGCAATGGATGCAAAAATCCGCTCAGCAATTTGTGGATCTTTAGACAATTCCCGAATAGCCTTGAAATAATATTCATAAGTTGTCAACGTAACGAACAGTGGGAACTCACTTGATGACCCACCTTTACATCGTCATCTGTGAGTTGGTTACAACTGAGTTTATCTTTGTTCGAAATATGATTCGCGTGGATAAGTGTGTTGAAGACAGGAAAGCCTTGCTTGTAATTCAAAGCGCCGTCAAAATTGTTAGAATAAACTCCGGTTACTTCCTGTTCAAATAACAGATTAACAAGGGTACCAAACAATGTATCGACCCTATATCGCTTACAATTTCATCGCCAGGCTTGCAAGAATCACAAAGATCACCAAGCAATATACAATCTTTGGAGCGAGGCAAGCGACCAGCTGCTACCTTATTTGGAGATTCCTGTATAGTGATACGCTGATAGTTGTGGTAGACAGTCTAAAAAGGAAATCTTGGAGAAGGAACGAGAAAATCTTCTGTGAATACGCGAACACTATTCAATGAAATGAAACGAAGCAAATACTTACGTTCTCAGCATTAAGTTCGAATGGCCCCCTTCCTTGGCATGATGGGCAGATCGTCGGCTTTACCTCTTCATCCTCACGTTGCACAAAAGGACCAAGGATATATCCACAAGCAACGCAATCATATTTAACAACGGACAATTGTGGGAGGATTCCTGATGGAGGACAAAATTTAAAATCAAATTCTTCAATATTTGCAATCAAAAGTAGTACCTGTGGCAACCGTAACCACACCACTAGTCTTGATGAACATATTAAGGTGGATCTGCCGTAGCATGCGAATGTCCTCCTCAACTGGCAAATTGGAGATGCGAACCTGTAACGATTCCTCTAATCGGAAAGATTTTTACGTCGTTACTGAGTGTTGACCAGTCCTTGAGTTACGCCACGTGTTCCATTTCCACTTGAAATAGTAATTGCGATTCATTTCGATCTATGTAATGACGACCAATCGATTCAAAGGCCATGCCTAGCCTCCTGAAGGAATCTAACACCGAGCAATTGACAGCAGAGATAGGCCAGGACCTGACTCTCGGACCTTGTATGTACTAAGCCAGCAATCTGTTACTACACTATTTTCGACATGAGCTCCCCAACGCATCTCATTTAATGAATAAAACTAAATAAATGGAGGGAAAATCTAGCGTGCAAACCTTTATTTCTGAACATACACGTCCATAATACGGGTAAATCGTTAGAACAACGTCTGTTGCAGCTTTATCCAGGATTCTCAATACCTTAACAAACGAATTCATGAGGATTTGTAAGTTGAACATGCCATATTTGAAGTACTTTTCAAGCAAATACAGCTGTTGACGATGTATCTGGCCACGGCAATACATACATGGCGAGGCCTTATCTTTCGTCAGTTAATCTTCCCCATATGTAACTATATGATTAACGTATAAACGTTAAACAGTCAAATCAGGCAGGGGTAAATGCTAATTCATACTCATTTGAGTAAATTGCAAACACGGTGACGTCGTATTCAACGTCGCGAAAGAAACTCAGTGATCAAAAAAGAGGGGCAGTACTGACTACAGTCACCTTCAGCATTGCTTAATTTGAAACATACCTGAACGGGAGCTTCTGGTAAGAAGTAGCAGATGTTCGGCTCTCCACTGTCATCTGCCAGATCGCGGAAATCGACTTCCAAAGATTCTTTGTTCTCGGAGGCCATTTGATTCATGGCCTATAAAGATTGTATTCATTAGACCTTATAACAAAAAAAAACGGCAATGACGTAGTTGGGGAGTAGGGGGCACTCGGCGGCGTCCCCTACTCAGGGCAGAGGGCTCAAGGCAGGCCTGACATTGGCGGAGACCAGGTCTTCTTTAGAGACCATCTTTCGACGACCCTTTCGTCTCCGCCCTAGAGCTAGCTGAGGTTAAAGAAAGCGGCGTGTAAGCGCGGCCGAGTACCACTCTCCCAACCATGTTAGTGCCGAAAAAGCCACTAAACACCTTCAAATATTTGGCTTTTCGGGTCAGCGGATCCTTGAATGCACGAAGAAAATTCTTGAACCTAGAAGGAATAACCATCCCAGAATTCTAGATTAGCGCACAAATGTGCTCATATATGACTGCATTCGGAACCTTCTTTCTATCTCTCTCGCTACAGCCTCGTCAGAAACATGGTCCTTCGTCGAACGACCTCTCAAGTTCTCCAAGATATCAATAGGAACTTCCTCCATCATATCCTGCTCTTCGTCTGCTCCTTCTTCTGCTGCAACACGACGTCTCCTCCGCCTTCTCTAAACATAAGGATTGATAAATCCAACGTGCGAAAAGACCATGTTCATCTCACAGACCTGTTCTTCATCTCCTTCTTCATAGAACAGCGCGTCATCATCCAAAAGTTGATCTCTTTGGGCCATTTCCCTTTCAGCAGCCAGTCTTCCACTTATCGACAATTCATCCAAATCTGAGGCGTCGTCCATTCCAGATTCGGAGTATATGTCGAGTTCAGGCTGTGCCTGATAGTCCCTACAAAAAAAGCATTAGCCCAGCAGGAGCCAGCAACCCATCATAGCGCTAACACATCCCCAAAAGTCCATACCTTTCCATATCATCTCCAAACAAATTTTCTCCTTCTTCGTCCTCCACATCCTCATTCTCATTATTGAACAATTCATCAATGGCATCTTCTTCATCATAACGTTGACTTTGAGGTTCACCTGAGGAATGAGGAAAAAAAAGTGAAATAAATTGCAGTACAATTAATATCAATGCTAGACCTTGTGCCGCTCAAACGTTTTCTAAAAATTGACCCACACAATGAGAGTCCCGGCGAGTGCCAGGGCCAGGCGTAAACTAAACGTCGCACATCCACGGTCCCAAGTAATTCTGGAAGGTAACTTCGGAAACCTACCGTTTTGCCCGACAGAACCTTCATTTTCTCGCCTGGACGACATTCTTGCGAAGAAAAACTTGAGCTGAAAAAAGAAATACACCTCGTGAAGGAAAACCTGGATGGAGAAAAATGAACGTACATGCAAAGCAGAGGAGCAAATGCGATAAGAAGAACGGCCGCAATTTGAAATCGAAATTTTGCCGCCCGCTTAGTTTCGCGCATTTTCTTCGTTGCAGGACCATGTGTATGTGATCGGACGCGTCCTTTGAACTGCATTGTTACGGAAGGCATGTCGTGCGGAGCACATCGTTGTTGAGGAATTCTCAGTAGGGGGGGTCTACTTGGCCGCCAGGAAAGTTGGGTCGTATTCAGGCTAGGAAAAATTTATTTTGATAGTTGATTTTTCTCGCTCCCCCTCCCCCGCTCGACGGTTCGATTCGATGAGGAGGACAGAGGGCCGGAGGGGGGGGGGGGAGGGGGTCGTACAGACTCGACTAAAATCCCCGACCAGTGATGTGCCCTGGGCCGTTGGCATTTGGGGTTATTGACATAGAATGATTACGAGACTAGTACCTCGTTTTCATGAGTTTTATGAAACATGATTGGTAAGCAATACGAACGTGAATCCTACAAAACCGCTTCAAACTGTAGAGGTGGAAGTTGGAAATGAGTACGGGTAAGATTTGTGCTGCGATTATTTGCCTCTTATGGCTTGATAGCTCACCGTCTCCACGACGGTTCTCACTGCTATTTGCATCCTGGGTGCTAACGTATTTGGGGGGGGGGGGGGGGGGCTGGCGGCGAGAGATGGCTCATCGCTTCTTCTGCAACTTCCTCGGCAAAATAGAAGTAATTTCATGTTTAGGACATAACCTGTCCTAGCCATATTTAAAAGCTAAAACAGTTAACGCTGAAAAATGCGAAGAAGCAGTTGGAAGATTCTTGCCTAGAGCAAAAGATTGCTGCTTGTTTGTTGTTATTGTTGACTAAAAAAGTCCACACATTTGTTTTCAGCTTCTGTGGGATTTCTCTGAGCAAGTTCCCGGTGAATCTTGTTTGTTTTATTCTAATTTATCTGCTAGATTCGCGCTTCAAGTATGCCGATGAGTGAAGAGCCGATGAGTCATCACTCGCCGCGAGCCGCGTGGCCCCCCCCCCCAAATACGTTAGCACCGCATCCTATTCTTAAGAGAGACGTACTCATACCATTTATTGTGCAGGCAATAATTCGTTCTGCACCATCTTAGTGAAAGAAAATAATGTCCTGTCAACTGTTCGTGTTGTCGATGAAGGGGAGTCAGTTTGTATATAAATCTTAGATTCGTCGATTCTTCAACTATGCAGAGCCAAAACAACCAGCACATGCAATTTCCCTTCCAAATCTCCGATCATTTACTCTTCCAATTGAACAGAGTCAAAGCATCTGCATCCGAATCTTTCTCATCGGTTTTTATTATTACCTCACAGGTGCATCTCCTTCTTTGGCTGTACACTCAGTAGGGCACATCATTGGTTGGGGATTTTAGTCGACTCTATACGACCTCCCAGCCCTCTACAATCAGATTTTCCCCAACTTCCTGCCCCTTTTTTCCAAAATTTCCCGAAAACTTCCCTACTTTTTACCAAAAATTTTGCTGTCGAGCGGGGGGGGGGCATATAGTACGCATGAAACAGGAAAATCACCAAAAGTCAACCGCCACTCCCACAACGCCAAAACGTAAATACGACCCCCCTCCCTTTACAACGTCCATGAAGCGAGAAAAATCAACTATCAAAATAAATTTTTCTCAGCCCAAATACGACCCCCCCTCCTGGCGACCAAATACGACCCCCCTATTGGGGATTCCCCAACAACGATGTGCCCTGACACTCAGATTTGGCCGCGAGAGCTCAATCAAGTGTGCGGCATGCCGCGTAGACGAGTGGACGAGTTGTCATATGTCGCGGCGCCAATTGACAGTGTTTGAAACTTGTGTGACGCCATTGCGACAAGACCCAACAACTGCTGTTTATTGTTGTTTTTCCTCTATACAGGTCAGTGACCAAATTGCTGGACTCCACAGTCACTCATCATTTCACCGTTTCTAATTTGCAGAATGAAGAAACCCGACACGAAAGGCTACTCCAGAAGAAGGCGATCCAGCGAAATCGCCGAACTCGAAAACTCTCCAAAGGTTTGTACCGTTTTCTCGTGCTTGATGAAATTTGCGAATGATTACTGTTACGGAAGAGGAGATTCGTCGCTGAATGTTTAGATATTGACCGTTTTTTGAAAAGCAGCCAACCTTAATTCCTTCGATTTGATAGTTAACCTCTAAAGATTGTTTTGGATATTACAGCTGTGCAACTGAGCACAAGTTAAAGTATTTTTGCTTGTTGAGAAAGTGATGTAGAGATTTTGACATTTTTTCTTACCATGGTACTATTTATTCTTCGTATGATCTCTTTTCTCTGTCGTTCTGTTCTCCACGACTGTCTTTCATTGTTTTTTTCTTTCGATTGAGATTACCTGATTTTATAATTTATTTACAACTGGTACTATGTTGAGAACCAAGTAGTGAGTGGCGCCGCTCTACTTTGTTTTATCCTGAAAGATCGTACTTAAAACCGCATGCAGCATGAGAACAGATGATTCTCATAAACTAATTACCGATGCATGACTTTTGTCAAATGATTTGGTATAAAAACAATGCTTATGGGTTAATTTCAATGTTTTATTGGTATTCATTCAGAGGAGAAGATCGAGCGAATCTGCCAAACATTACCTCACAATTCGATCGACCGTTTTCACCTGCCACGCTTGCAAGAAAAGTTGGTGTCAATCTTTCTATGATTATTTTCTTTAGCTGAGGAGAACGATAATAATATAATGTTGGAGTTAGGGC